TGTACACAATACACTCAATATGTACACTTCTTTTAATTCTTATCCGGTTTTTTAATCGATCGTAAGTAGACGATGGCTTTGCTTCGCCCCGTCTCCTGGCCACGATTAAGAGGGTTATCGTGTCGCGCTGCTTTATCAAAGTAGCGCTCTGACGCTTCCTTGCGGTTCTTACGTATCGGTTCTAGATTTAGGTCGTCGTGACGATCAACGTTCCTCACATACCACGATGCTCCGAGATTTCAAATGTGTACGGGCCGTGTGAGCGCTCACTACACTTAGAGCTAGATTAGTTCTTTCAATACAAATTAAAAAAAAAAAACACGCTATTTCATCATAATTAGTACAAAAATAAACGATGCTTTGTCTTTGTCTAATGCGTGCCTTGTCCTTGAATGAATGAATTAAAAAATTTCGAAGCATGCGAAATGTTGACAAAGTCCACCGGAAACGTCTAAGTGTCGGAGTCGTGCTGTGACCCAACGAGAGATCCCGCACGTTCGGATGGGCCCTAAATAAAAATTGACCCCTCGGGGCGATTTTGAGAGCGTCCAAGACACGTGGGTGTTCTCTGACACAAAAGTCCTTTACGAACCGGATTTAATATTTTTTTTATTAGTGGCTAGTATTGACGGTTCATCAGCGGACAGCATCAAGTAGATCCCAACGAAAAAATTTGTTGATTTAATTATGAAATACATTTACGATTTTTATATAGCGTTTTTTTTTTGTTGTCTCTTTATTGTCATGTTAATAATATTATCTAAGAGTGAAAAAAGGCTATCTGAATTAAACAATTTGTTCGTTTAATTATGAAATACATTTACGATTTTTATCTAGCGTTTTTTTGTTCATTGTCATTTTATTTTCATCTCTCTCTCTTTCCAGCTATTTATCCCACATGGTGGTGGGGTCAGCTTTCCTGACTTTACTCCTCCACTTCGCTCTGTCTTCGACATCCTCGTCAGCAACATTGCATTCTCTCTTGTCCTTCAGCACTACGTCCCTCCTCCACCTTGTCTTGGGTCTGCCTCTAGGTCTCCGTTTTTATTTTATTTTCATGTTAATAATAATATCTAAGGGTGAAGAAAGGCTATCCGAATGCGCCACCCACCTTGAGATATAAGTTCTAAGGTATAGTCACAACGGCTGCCCCATCCTTCAAACCGAAACGCATTACTGCTTCACGGCATAAATAGGCGGGGCGGTGGTACCTACCCGCGCGGACTCACGAGAGGTCCTACCACCAGTAAGTTATTGCACTTTGCCTTCTGTTCCGATTGAAAACAGAGTGATACTGTTATACCTATGTTGTACCTCAGGAGTGTCAGTAAAATTAATGTGCACACAGTACTTGTGCTAACTCCTCAGTTCAACTAATAAATTCCAGCTAAGTTCCCACCCGTCACTCCAATCGTAATGATACAGACAATTTCAATCATTTTTTATATACATACGAACAATTAAATCATTTTCTGTAAAAAAAAAATATATTTCTCAGTAGTATATTACAACAACTCGATGTATACAGTACCAGGCAATAAATATTGCACATTGATATTTAGAAAGAGACAGTCGTCTAATTTTGTTATTGTTGTAGAGCGTTACCTGTATGCAACGAAGCACTAATGATCCGGTATCTATGGAGATTAAATGTCAATTAGGTAATGTGCGACAGGTATAACGCTCTACAAAGCAAAAATTAACCGTCTCTTTCCCACGGTTGATGTGCAATATTTATCGCCGGGTACCTACTGTAGATAGTTTCCGGTAATTTGTCTCTACATCATAGTAAATGAAAGATTAAATGTTACGTTTTCAATTCAACTATTCACATAAAACAGATCATAACCGGCCCCTCTCTACTCTTCTATTTCTTAACGATTTTTCCAGCAGTTCGCCACATCAAGAGTTCCGGGAAGGCCCCCCATCGAGCCGCGCACCTGACGCACGGACAAACAACAGAACACGGTAGCGCCGATTCTAAGTACCGGTTAATTGGTTTTGAACGAATTCTAAATATAAACGAAAGAGTTTTCTTTTTATTTTTAATCTATGTTAAATAATACTTACACTGCTTTAGGTAAGGTTAATATACAAAATGGCCACGAAACATTGTTGTGCAATGAATGAAAAAATCGAGAAAAAAAATCGATTAATCGATAAAAAGTAATCTGGTCACATTGTCTACATTCATGGTATTTGAAGATTGGTCAATTTGTTGTATTGTCAGTAAATTAATTAAGCATTATTTACGTTTTACGTAATTTACAGAATGTAACGCACAATTCTCAAATCAGACAAAATACTATTTCATTCTTACAACGACAACTCGTCTTTTCGCATTAAAAGTGTCCAATTTCCAAAAATATTCGAAATTGAATTAATATGCGGAATCATTTGGTATCACCAGTATTTTTCTCATAAATACTGTCAAAAGAGCGTAGTTTAGTTTTAGTTTTTTTTTTTACCTATGTTTTGACTACTATTAACAAAATTAATACATAAACAAATCTTACTTTAAAATACAGATCATGAAACTGTTAAAAATAAATGTTATAAAGATGATTGATATTAAAAATATCACATGTTAAACCTTTAAAACACTCTCCTGTAAAATTAGTAAGTTTTGAGATGATACACTTTAATGCGAGAAGACGAACTGTCAACCGTCAATAGCTTTATTATTTAAATAGTTCTTCCACCACATTTAGCGCCATGAACACAGCGATCCTTATTTTTGACGGCGCCGAAATATCGCGAATTAATTAAATGCGTAAATCGTGGCATGAATTTTACCGACAAATACGAAGATTCACTAATAAAATTATCCGAATCCTGCGTTAACTCGGTGACGACGCGACGTGTAACGAGTATTTTTTCAACACCGAACACCGAACGATCTATTTGTACTGATGAATTTATCTATGTTTATAGTTGCCAGCTAAACGATTGTTGAAACGTTCACTCGACATAACACAGAAACTGGCTGGAAACTCAATAAAACCTCATTAAACCGTTTACGGCGAATGTTATTTGTTTAAGTGGGAAACGAACGCGCCACCCGCGGCCGCCCGCTGCCAGAGACCACACATAAAATTTGACCTCCACTAGATGCCGTTTATAAGGCAACAAGTATGTACCTGAATTTGTTTTGCGTTTAATTGTCTCGAGAGCAATAAAATGTTTTGTAGGAAGACGCGTTACGATCGCGCTGCTGAAAAAACTTTTTGTCGTTCGATAGTTTGGTTTGTTTCTAATGCGAGATTCACGTCATTATGGATCCTTCTGATCCATTAACGGTGCTTTTAGGCACCACAAGCACGGGTCACCGTCCTCGTCGAACCCGTCGCTTGCGACGAAGGGCTCGACGAGCGAATTAACTCATAGATACAGCCCACTGAGTTTCTCGCTGGATCTTCTCAGTGGGTCGCGTTTCCGATCCGGTGGTAGATTCTGCGAAGCACTGCTCTTGCTACGGTCAGTGTTAGCAACACTCCGGTTTGAGCCCCGTGAGCTCACCTACACATGTTAGGGTGGAGTTGAAATAGCCTCTCAAGGCTATCAGCATAGGCACGAAAAAAATATATGCAAGATATGTTTTTTCCCTACCTATTCCCTGATAGTTTAAGGGGCTATTTCAGCTCACGGGCTCAAGTTCACACAACAAGCTCAACAGTAGTCCTAGCATGGGCAGTGTTTGGCTGAATCTACCACGCGATGGGAATCGAGACCCACTGAAAAGATCCAGCGAGAGATCAAGACATTCAGTGGTTAAAGAGACGTGTCACGCTTAGAATTAAACGACTGACTCCTCTGTCCGTTTAAGCTCCAAATATTTAAACAGACATTAACAGTATGCTATGGATCCCTCCAACGCATCGCTACGAATATCATTAAATAAATAATATGAATAGAAATTGCACGAAAATGATCACTGAAAACTAAACAAACTTCACGAAGGTTGATTTTGTATGTAAACGTCGTGCAAACGTGTAAATAAATATTATTATTTATTATGAAAATTTGTTACCCAATGGTAAAAAACAATTTTAGTATATTTTGCTTAACATTAACTTCTATGATATTATACTCCTATTATCTCAATTTAATATGAAAAGTAATTAAAAGCGTTTTAATGTTGAATTTCAATAATATAATATGTCGAAGGACCATAACGAAGTTCAAAACTTAATTAGTTAAAGCTTAGTGACATCTAGTGAAAAGTATTTTCAGACTTTTAGACAATGATATATGTGTTTAAAGAACAAGAGATGTCGCTTTTAGTAGTGCAAGCTATTCGATAATAGGTGCCGCTACCCTGATTTAATGTAACCAGTAAAAATATAGAATTATGTTTTTAAACTTTTTAACACTATTTTATTAGCTAGCTATTTATGTAACGAAATCTTTAAACGTTATTTTCCCCCTTGTCAAAATGGAACGCTTGCCTACGTTTGCCGCTAGGGGCGCTGTTTCAACTCCATACAAATTTGAGTTAATTTTTAGGCGATCGGGAATTAAAAACTCGCACTAAGCACACGGGTAAGTGTGATCCATAGCTCAACTGGGAGGGGGGTTTGATAAAAATTGTCCGACTTCCGGCCTTCTTCGCAGATGAATCTACACCCAGATTGGAATCGCGACCCGCTGAAAAGACCCAAGGAGAAATTGCTGAATTTATTGTTTAGGCTAATTCTATAACGAATAGCAGTTGTCTTTCATCACGATATCTATTTTAAGTTGATTTGACTCCTAAAGAAAGTTTAGTACCATCTGAACAAATTGTTTGAATGTTTCTTTTTAGTAAATCGCCACCAGGTAACGAAAATACTGATTACTTTGATTTATTGAAATACAAAAAGGAAAAGCTTAAAGAATAAAAATAATTAAAAAAGTTATGTAAAATACAAAAACTTTGGTCAATTTTTTGTTTAATATGTAGAATTAGTATAGAGCTGGCATCACCGAAAAAATGACGTTTGTTGACAGGTGTACTTTGTTATCATCCAGAGTATTTTCGACTTTTTTAATCAGAAATAAATTTTTGTGTAAAAATACAAGCAGATTTCATATGGATATTAAGAATGAAACCAAGCCAACCATGGAAATTACTAACATACCGCCTATTGTATCAATATACCGGCACGCAATGCGCACCTTTGATGACAATTTCAAAATGGATTTCACGACCAACTTAAATAAGTTAAAATCTATGATGGATCACCTCAAAGCTGAAGATTTCGCATTCGATAATAGCCTCAACGATGTCGAGACATGGAGGCAGCCGCTTAAAGCCCCATGTACGTACATAAAAGTGTTTGAAGACTATCAGATAAATATGAGCATTTTCGTATTAAAACCTGGTTTTCGAATGCCTCTCCACGATCACCCTCGTATGCATGGACTATTGAAAGTGATTACTGGTGCAGTGAATATACGGAGTTTCTCTGAGTACCCACTAACAGAACAGGTGAGTAGCTTAGACCTCAAGGTGCGCGCGAGATTCGAGGCAGCTCGTTTGGCACGAGGTATTCACAGAAGGAGAAGGCTTTTCGCGGAAGTGACGGCTGATCGTGTGTGCAAGGCCAATGCTGAGACCTGCATCCTCACACCAACAATATCAAATTACCACGAAATCGAGGCCTTGGATATGCCTGCAGCATTCTTTGATATACTTTCACCACCATACGATACGATGATTGAAGGTATAGGTCCTAGAAGGTGCCGGTATTATGAAGTGGCTAACGTAATAAGTAGTAATCTAGTTGAATTGGAGGAGATAGAAGTGCCAAAATGTTTTTATTGTGATCAAGCACCATACTTAGGGCCCACACTTGCTTAGATACAAATTCATCTAAATTTAGGTAGCTAGTTATTCTCAATTATGGAAATAATAGTAGTTAGGCGGTGTATAAATTTTAATGTTAATTAATTAAGTCACATGCTTGATTGCCTATTGGGGCAAAAGCAAACGAATGTAAGTGAAAACCATAGTGCAAATATTTTGTGCCTTCTATACAAAGTTGACATAACATAGGCAACTATTGTGAAAAACAATGTAGTTTAGCTTTATCAATAGTAAATTATTATTATAAAGCTGTTATTAAATTTTAAACTTTAAATATAAAATGAATAGTATTTCTACAAAATGAAAAAATACATATTATAGACTGTTGATTCTATTAAAATACACTACAAAACTAGTCGAAATAAACATGTGATAGTTCAATTAAAGATATAGAGAGATGAAGATATTAGCAATCCATGGATTCATTGTGGTGGTGCCAGGTCCATTAGGCTGCTGAGAGAGAAACTTTGAGAAAGCCAGTACACTTGCGATGCTAGTGTAGGTTTTACAAATTAATTATGAAACTGACAACTTCTTTATAAATAAATAAAAAAACTTTGATTTTAATTCTTAATAAATAAAATTCTAAAAAAGTGTTGGAGAACAGATTTTCTTAAAATTCTAAAATGTACAATGACACAACAATGACACTAACAAATCATGATATTCTGAACATCTCATGATGTTCGGATTTATAACAAATATATCAGTCTCGACCTCACATAGTACACGGAATACCATTTTAGGGCTAGACGATACTGAATTGTCCCTGTGTGACTATTGATTTATTTAAAAGGTTTTGTTCAAAAATGTTATTTGCAATCATGCATTTGAAACCTGTATTTCAACATTATAACATGTAGACCAGTTACCAACTAAATTAATTGATATAAGATTAGTAAAATTAATATAAATGCTTTGTTGTGTAAAATCTTAATTGATATGATGTTATCATTGTTGTCATATTTCGCAAACTGATTGTGATGTAGTGATCACTCGTTATTGTACGGCAAGTGATTTATTGCGTAAAACTGTAATTTTCTAGTCTTTTAGATTTATCTCTTTTCTTCTGTATTTGCGCAATAGTTGCTTTTAATATAACTTTCTTTAATTTACAATTTTGCTAAGTACTTCTTGAATAGTATTTTAAAATTTTAGGCTTTTTGTCGTCAAGTCTCCATGCAGAATATTTTGTTTTCTCTAAATTATTAAGTAATATTTATAACACTATTCCCTTTTCTAAGATTTTTTAAATAGTCAACAAAAAAAATTTAAAACTGTTCCATAAACATATAAACCTAATTTTAAAAAGTACAAATTGATTTTTTTAAGTGGAACTTCTTGATTGAATCACTTAATTTTTAGACTTTTTAACACTATATCATCAAAACAGTTGATTTTGCTTAACTTCAAATGAAGGTAATTATGTACTCTCTTGCTATGCTATGCTATGCTCTTTACATGTGTTATGTGTTTTCTTTTCTATGCTGGGAACACAGGGTCATGAATTTGTGACACAATTAGTGGGTTTACTGAAAATATTCCAGTATTGCATTCATTTTTTTTTGTCATAAGTAATTAGGAAACAATCGTCCAATGTAAAAGTGTAGAAAACATTATTTAGAAACATCAAAAAAAGTATATTATGAACTGTTTTATGTAACAATGAGTACAAAATTATATGTTAAGCTATTCCACTCTGTGTTTAATGAAAAATCACACAAAATTAAGTTGGAACTGACAATATGTTAATTATTAATTATATATAGTTTACCGATAAAACTGCCCCTATTAAAAATTTCATTTTTTAATCACCTTCACAATATCCATCTTTGTATAAAATAAAGAGTATATACTGTATTCTAAAGTTCTTGGTTCCCTACAGTTACGTTATGTATACTTTTTACTATGTTTAAGGCAATCATATCTTTTATGTTAAATTCAGTCTATTATAACACTGTAAAATATTTGTTTAAACAAATTAGTTATAGAACAGTTTGAAAAGTTTTTATTCAATAATTAGAATCGGCATTCATAGCTTAGTTTAGTTAAAATCGACACTAGCAATGAAAAAAAATTTTACAGCAATTTCTTCAAACTCACGGTAGGCAGCGGCTTGGCTCTGCCCCTGGCATTGCTGAAGTCCATGGTCGACGGTAACCACACACCATCAGGTGGGCCGTATGTTCGTCTGCCTACATGGGCAATGAAAAAAAAAAACTCACACGAATATGAGAATATTATTGTCTAAAACGTTCATCACATTTAATTAAGTATGTACAGAATTTACATTCCTTCAAAAATGCATTTTAAGTAATAGATCACAATTAATCTATGACTATAAGAGGCAATGTGCACAAAGAATTGCAACGAATTTTTTATGTGATCTCTAATTGTAAAATTAAGATAGCATATATGAGAAAAAAATAATAGATTACCTAAGCTCGACATAAAGACAAAATTTAGAAGAAACAAGTATTTAACAATGTGATGATTTAAGATGTATCCTGTAGTATTTTTTCATAAGCAAAATCATGTTATATTAAAATTAATTTATTTTTAATTAATTCTAAAAAAATTCTACGTTAAAGTCAGTCCGTTAATATTTAGAATGTATAAAAACGTGGAAGCTTTGCCAAAAATCATAGTATTTTTAAAAAAATGAGATTTGGTAAAATTCAAATTACCTTGCCTGGTCAACCGCAAGGTCAATGAACCTACAGTTGAATGCTGGAGAACAAGAAATACCATTTTCTCGTTTCGTTTCGTAACTTCCGTATAGATCGCTTCGATGGATAGTGATAATGGACTGTATTGTGTTATCTGTGTGCTTAGTGCGAGTTTTTTAACGTTCTCGATAACGATAGCGTAAAAGTTTTTATAATTTAAGTAGTAAAACCAATTTTGTATGCAGTTGGAACAGCGCCCCTAGCGGCAAACGTAGGCAAACGATCCTAATCCATACAAATATGAGCTAAATTTTACGCTATCGAGAACCTGTAATAAACTCGCACTAAGCACACTGTTTATTATGAATTACAATTTGATTAAAGTGTAAATGAGTCGACTATTATCAAAGCCGGCAATCTGACTTTTGGATAATTATTGGTAAATCAGAAAAACGAATTATTGACTTTGTATTCCATTGGCAGTCACAAAACTCTTCGGAACGACATCTTAGATAAATAACAGGTTAACTATTAACCTTTATTTAATGCAGGTTTTGAACCGTATTCTTTGAAGGAGACGATTATATTNTGTATTCCATTGGCAGTCACAAAACTCTTCGGAACGACATCTTAGATAAATAACAGGTTAACTATTAACCTTTATTTAATGCAGGTTTTGAACCGTATTCTTTGAAGGAGACGATTATATTCAAATCAATCTGTATTGACATATCAATAACATTTTTTTGTCCAAATGCACAGATTGCCACCTTTGATAATAGACGACTCAAATACAGTGCAGACGCGCTCAATAAATACATTAGTATTGTAATTTGTCATCGACTTTTGATTCCGATGTTGTGATATTCGATAGAGGCGGCTCTCGCAGGACTACGAGGGTTATTGCGAAGCGGCAAAAAGCTCAAGACGCAGTGCCTTTACTGCGAATCATACAAAACAAATTTTGAGAAACTGCAATGGTAGGTAGGTACTTATTTGTACTCCAGTCCACGTTATTTAGAGAGCACTATGAACTGAAAATGTATATTGTAATTATTATACTTAAAAATTGCCATGTGCTTAAAAGAATTGAACTAAATATTTAGATAATAATAGTATGTACTACGTATTTTATTATTTTTTTATTAAGGATACATTTTTGTTATTAAAAATTTAAACTGTTTATATTGTTTCATTTCATGCTAAATTAAAACTAACCTTAACTTGGACACTTATTTTTTCTGGATGTAGGGAATCTTCTGGTACCCACACTGGTAGGTATACATCCTTACCTACTTCTGCCGTGAAACAGTAGTGAGTTGTTTGAAAAGTGGGACAACCGTTGTGTTTTATCACTTACAGCCTGGCCACGGGACATTCGCCGATACGAATATTCGCGCGGTGCGAACGGCGAAGCGTCTAGCGACTAAAATAAGAGCATAGAAATGTACCTAACAGGCCACGCGCACCGGCGACCGGCGAAGCGACCGGCGAAATGTACCGAGCGAATCGCGCGATGCGGCGGGCGAGCAAAACAAATGCATGAATACGGACGGCGCGAGCCACGGAGTCGAGCGGTAGTCGCGGCGAATAGTACAGTGATTAAATGAGTTTAGTTGTTTTCGCCGCGAAAAATTAAAACCGAAATTTTTATATTTTTTATTTATTTTTTATTTTTAAAGTCGTCGTGGCCTAACGGACGTCCGTTGCAATCGTGTTGAGCGATGCACCGGTGTTCGAATATCAGGCGGGTACCAATTTTTGTAATGAAATACGTACTCAACAAATGTTCACGATTGATTTCCACGGTGAAGGAATAACATCGTGTAATAAAAATGAAATCCTCAAAATTATAATTTGCGTAATTACTGGTGGTAGGACCTCTTGTGAGTCCACACGGGTGGGTACTACCACCCTGCCTATTTCTGCCGTGAAGTAGTAATGCGTTTCGGTTTGAAGGGTGAGGCAGCCATTATAACTATACTTGAGACCTTAGAACTTATATCTCAAGGTGGGTGGCGCATTTACGTTGTGGATGTCTATGGGCTCCAGTAACCACTTAACACAAGGTGGGCTGTGAGCTCGTCCACCCATCTAAGCAATAAAAAAATAAAATAGCTGAAATACTAGCTAGACCAGCTATTTGGAAGTCTAGCCACCCAAAGTATTTCTCGTACTTCTTGTGGAATTCTCCATCTATAGGTATACTCCGATTCTTATTCAAATCATGTACTTCACAATCTTTTCCAAATAATAGGTCCTGAACCAAAAAACTATTAATTTGTAAGCAATATCGAGATAATTTCGATATAGACATTTCGCTGTCGGACTTCCTTACTAGTCGCGGCGGCGAACGTGAGTACCCGTGGCCTGCAAACGGTGCTGCGCGAATGGTCGCCTCGTCCACCGCTTCGCTGTTCGCACCGCCGATCCCCGTGGCCAGGCCGTTAGACTTCGGACTCTTGTCTCAAGGTGGCGTTAACGTTGTTGTCTATGGGCCCCAATAATCACCTCACACCAGGTGGGCTGTAAGCCCATCTTAGCAATAAAAAGAGTACAGCCGATTGGCTGCTGAGAATTTAAATAATATTTGAAGAAAAAAAAAACAAAATCTATTGAGTGTAAATATTATTTTATTGAATTAACAGTATCATTAAACAGGGTCCACACAATAAAATTAATACAATACAATTTTTATTTACTGTTTATATAAAAATAATCTTTCGATCAAGCAATAATGTGTCGTATGTCGTTGCTTTAATTGAATATGCAATTTCGAAAAGGGCACATGTCGCATATTTTGTCAAATACGTTTTTTCATATACATGTAGTTATGAGGCTTACCTACACCCATTTTTTAATAATTCCACTAATTTTCAATTGCTAATTAACACTAAAATATATCTCAATAGTTAATATTTTAAATTTTACACTGCTTTAGAAAATAATCAGTTCTTTTTCATTTCCTGAACATTTTACATTTTCAGAATTCGAAATTGCATATTCAATTTTCAAAGACGAAACCCAACCATCTTCCGATGAAAGAAATTAGGCTCCGGTTCGGTCAATGGCTTTAGAACAAGAAGGACGAAATTAGTCAATTTATAGAAACATTTAATTCTCGACATTATTTTCTTAGCCTTAAGTAATAATTAGAAAACGACCCGACACGAAAAACTGCTTGTCATATTATTGATCAAAAGCACCAAGGTATAAGGAAATTATATTTTTGTATATTAAATAGAAAGAATATCTACATTTTAATATGTATTTACCATTTTTAGATATTACAATTGAAATAAAAAATTGCCGAAATACAAACTAGTCTATAGTTTTCTTTTTTCTAACGAACATTTTGCGCGCTAAAATTGAGAAAAAAGTTCGATGTTCCTCAAGTACGTATGTAAATAATACGTATTCTGTACGTGGACACTATCAAAACATTTATCATAATCAAAAGTGAAAACTGTCGATTAGATAAAATTGTTTACAAA